AAAAAAAATAAAAATAGTAAATATAATTTTTTAAGGACTTGCCGCCAGATATCGCAATGTGTATGTTGTATATCGAAAACGCCTTATCGATGCGAGCGCTGCAGGAAATGATGAGCGCAGATAACGAACTTGTAAACTTTAATTACATTTTAAGGATATTAGAAATTTATCAAGTATTGATAAAGGCAGATTATTTTCATTTCACCTTTTGGTTGGAAATCTTTCCTATCATATTTTTTCACATTCTAAGTACTCAAATGATACCGCTTTCAGAAGGGTACTGGAACAGGTGGGGGGCATAAAACACTGCTCTATGGTCATGCAGTGCAGCTGAAGCACGTTCAGAGCGAGATGGTTTGCCTTTTCTGATGCTCATCTTCATTAAATTGCAGTTTGAGATTTTGATAATTCTTCTCTTGCAGTATTTAGCGTGCCTCTCATCTTGTTCTTCAAATGACAAGTTAGCATTTGATGTTGGAGTACAAGAGACTAATGAAGGTTAGCTTCACTTGACCTGTACTGTTGATGACAAATTCCCCACTTACTCTTTTCGTTCTTTCTTACGGATGGGTGCTTCAGGCAGTGAAAAGATGCATTATCTTTATGTGTTATGCTTATTTAGGTGAAGCCTGTTGGTGGACTATTCATCCAGCGTCAAAACAGAGATCAGAAGGTGAAAAAGTCAGGGTTGGTGACGACGTAATTCTCGTTTCTGTCGCTACCGAACGTTATCTGGCAAGTGTTGAGATTAAATACTAAGTTTTTAAGACTTGTTTTAGCACGTTAGTTCCAAATGTAACAACACTAAACAGCTACCACTATTAATGCATTTAGCATATGACCCATAGCAAGGGCTTTATGGTCATTGCATCTTTTCATCAAACGCTGTGGAATATTGGTTCTGTTAGTTCTGGAAGCGTTCGAACAAGAAACATGGGTATACCTACTTTTACCTGTTTATACTGATTCTTCTAACTTACACTTTGCCGGTTCAGATTTTCTTAAACTGAGAAAAAGGGGGCTATCATATGAAGTGGGATAAAAGCGGAAAGCAGAAAGGGTTGAGTAGATTATTCACCGATTAATTCACTTGTAGTGCTTATGTTGTAGGATACCTTTTTGGAAATGATGTGCTAAGGCTTTTTCATGGGAACGATGAGGTGCTAACTATTCCTGAAAATTGGAGCGAGCACCCGCAACACAAGTTTGCAATAATTCTGCTTCTTTAAACCTCAACTTGTTGACGTGTCTCTATTTAATTCCTATTCTTACCTTAGTTGGCATCTAGAAAAGTATTAAAATTTTTTTCTGTGAAGGGAACATTTTGCAAACAGTTTGAAGTATGAGGTTGTTAGAAGTTTTATGATAACTTTTTTATTTCAGTTCAGATTAACTTAACTCACCTTTTGCCATTTTAGTGTCGTAATTTATGAGGGTGGCTCTGCAGTAGCACAAGCCAGGTCTTTATGGAGAATTGAGCTTATCAGGTTCAAGTATCAAGGTGCTCTTGTCGGTTGGGAACAACCCTTTCGAATTCGACATATAACTTCGGGCCGGTGAGAAGTTTCTATTAAGCTATGAGTAAGGACAGTATGACAAAGAGCATAAGAAGTGGTGCATTTGTAATAATGTATTGTATAAAGAAATGTATTAATCCATAAAATTTATAACTGGTAAAACTTTGAAGTTACTTTTTACAGACCTCAGTTTGAAGTTCATATTTATTACCTTGAGAAAAGATTTTTATTTTTTACTGCAGGAAAAATTGTGTTGAAATTGATGAAACTTCTTTTGTTACTATATTGAACTCCTCACACAGAAAGTAAACTGCCGTTATAAGAGTAAAAAGGATCAATAATCAAGATCTTTTTCTTTGCTTATTTTTTTTTTGTTCAGAACTGTCTTCTAAATGGAGGGCAAAAAAATGGTTTGAATAAAAATTAATTTGGAAAGTTAACTTTCAGGTATTTGGGGGTTCAAGAGAATGCTGTTCAGCTTTATCATAAGGACAAAGCAGATTTTGACTTAACCGCATTTGTCATGTGTCAAAACAAAGTTAGATTTCAAAGTCACATTTGATTCCTGCATTAATAAATAATCTTTTATCACATTTAAGAGGTAGGCTTGATGTGATTGTATTTTGTCATTTTGCGAGACACATATTGATTTGAAGGATCCTAAAAAACAAATGCTGGAAGAAAAGGAAGAGGAAGGTATGGGTACAGCAACAATTAGATATGGTGAAACCGATGCTTTCATACAGCATATCAAAACTCAATTGTGGTTGTCATACCAGGTATACAGTTTTGTCCAGTATGTGTTGCTGAGGGATTTTGCTGGGCAGTTCTAACTTCTTGAACCTGTTTAGATATCAGAAGTAACTAAAAAGGGATTGGGAAAGGTTGAGGAAAAGAAAGCCGTAGCATTAAAGGACGGACATATGGATGATTGTTATGCTTTTTTCATGGCGCTCGAAGAGGAATCTAATGCAGCACGAGTTATTAGAAAATGTTCTGCAGTACTGAATCGCTTCCTCAAGTTAGAATTTTATGTTTAGCACTTAGATTATTCTTTCAAAACTTAACAGATTTGATTTAAACAACGTTTGCTGACCCTTTCAAATTTAGAGGCATTGAGGCCTTGCAAAGAGATGGTGCAGGAGCACAGGAATGGTCGAAAGTAGACTTAAAAGAGGTTTTAAAACTAATGGAAGACCTTATTGAGTACTTCGCACAGCCTGCAGAATCAGATGGTTTCTTAAGTTCTTTGCCTTTTATCAATTTTGTCTGGTCCATAGCTACATTGTTTAAGTGTAAAATGTGATTTCAGGTTTTGAAGAGAAACAAAATAGATTGCGAGCATTGCGTAGCCGGCAAGACCTTTTTCAGGAAGAAGGCGTACTTAATATGATTTTGGACACAATTGATAAATTTTCACAAATGGAAGCGTTACCCGACTTTGCTGGCTTGATAGGTGACAATATTCAGGTGGAAACTTATTACAATTCTAGCGCTACACGACTGTCTGCATGCTCTATTTGAAAATTTTTTTAGGTAATCTGGGATGAAATTTCTACTTATTTATACTTACTAGTTGCTGCGATGATTAAAGGGAACCATTACAACTGTGCTCAGTTCGCATCAGTCCAACGTTTGGCGTGGCTTTTTGGAAGGCTTTCAAACCCCCAGTCATCTGAAGGTTCATCTTCCACAAAGTTTCTTTTTTTCTTTCGTATAAAGGTTATGTTTAGGCATTCTGGATGTGCTTTACTGTGTCCTCACTGAATCTCCAGAAGCATTAAACATGGTAAACGAAGGCCATATTAAGTCGGTAATCTCTCTCCTCGAAAAAGTCGGTCGGGACCCGAAGGTAATATTTATGAGAATTTTCTTCAGAGATGAACAAGAAGAGCAAGTTCTAATGAAAACATTCCCAGGTTTTGGATGTTCTTTCTTCTCTTTGCGAAGGTAACGGCATGGCCGTACGGAGCAGTCAGAATACAATAACGGAACATCTTTTACCAGGAAAAGACCTTTTGTTACAGACCAAAATGACAGATCACGTGAGCAGGTAAAAGCCGCAGATAAAACAGCATCGCCTTGATTTTTTGGAGCTTTTGCACATTGACGGCCCTATATTTCTTTGGAGGAAAGGCCTTCGTAGGAAGATTTTACTGTCACAATAGCTTGCTGCAATCGAGGAGCCATTTCAAGCGTGTCCAATCGACACTAGGGATTATGAATTTCTTTTGCGGTGCTGGAACTTGTTGCTACGTAGTTGGAGATTTATAAATTTCTGTGAAAAATTGTGCACAGGATTGGACTTTTGTCAAAATAGAGGAACAGAGAGGTCGATGAGATGTACGACATAGTAGCAAAAGATGTTTGGAAATTTTGAGGTCACATCGTGGCTACAAAATTGTTTGAATATCCAAAGTTGGGTTGTGTAGCACAGTGGTAGTTACAGGGACAATTTTTAAATACTCAAGTTTGAGATAAGGCGGGCCAACTTGAAAGTACTATCATATTGTGGAGGGAACTGAATTACGTAACATTACAGAAGGTGGTAACTCCGAGTGGTGTGTGTTGGTGCAGCAGGAATTTATCATGCGTTTTAAGACAAGTTTCTTCCTTTATCTGCCGAACCTGAGGGAAAAGTTGTAATGGTGTTCTCCATGTGAAGCACGTTCCGAAAGTTGAATTGCTTTATGATGAATCTAGGACCTATGATGAACACTCAAGTTTTCTGGGAGAACTACGAGGTAGTGGGTAATGCACCGACCGGAGGTAGTACAACGCATTGTACTTGTATACCTTTTTTTAAACAAATTTCTGCATATGTGAGTTCAAAGACCTCCTCTCTATTCCATGCATCGATATACGACTTTTTTTGAATTCAAGCCGTAGAGAGTAAATGGCATTTGTGCAGGCTTTGGATCAGGATTAGTGAAGTGGAGATTATGGTTAATAGTCTGGCGCTGATACACTTGGCATATCTTTGATGGTGCTGTTTGCCACCCACTGATTTTAAACACTGGTTTTTTTCAGTAACAGTATATTGCCTGATCGTTAGCAGAAGAGGTTGTAGCGTTTCTTCAAAGGCGTTTTATTAACCTTCACTGCCTTATTAGAGCACCAGGTAATTACGGCATTTCTCTTGGAATGCTTCGTACGAACACGCTTTAAAAAAAAAAAAAACGAATTAAAAAAAAAAAAGAATTACACTGGAGATTTGAGTGCGCATGACTGTGTAGCAAAGTTCCCGGATTCGATACCAGAATCAGCAGCACTGCAAGCTGATTCTCTGCCACTGTGCCTCGATGCGTCAGCTTTACAGGAGTTTTAAGACATGGGCCATTCCATGCCCGTTCATGCGCTTTTCCCTCTTCATTCCTTGAGATTTTTGGTAATTTTGTCTGTTGCTAGAGTTTAGGCCAGTATACAGAATGTTGAAGCGAGAACCGGAAAAGCTGAATTCCCCAACAAGTTACATTCTCACTCAAACTTGCAAAATTTATTAGATTTCTAAGTATGCTTCATTGGGAATTTTATAATTTATCTAAACCTTGATAGAATTTGGAGATTTTTAGCTTGCTGGATTTGCAATGCCTTCTTTTTTGAAAGCATAGGAATAACTTAATTCTGCTAAGTAGTTATACAGATACAAAAAAAAACAATTTTAATTCTATATAATAAAGTTTGCTTATAAATTTTCCAGAAAGAATTTATTTTGTGTAAATTTTTTTGCTCTGTGAAATACCACTAATTGATAGAGGCGATTTTTCAGATTTGGAAGATAAGATTTAGTAAAGACCAAGTCTGAGAAGTAACTACTGTTTCTGCAGTATTCCTGCACATTTCGCATTCGCGGAATCGTCTTCAACTGCTTTTGAAGGTCATAAAGAGTGGCTAGGTAACCCCGGTACGATTTGGTCGTTAGAGACTTGTTGCAGAAGTTATATCTTACTTTAAAATATTAACTATTTATCAGTCTGCAGGGTTGTAAAAAGTAGTCTTTATTCCAGTCTTTTATGCTTACCTTTTAATCAAATTTATGGGCTTAGTACGTATTTTTGGCGTCACAAAAGAGCAGAAAAAGCTCACTGTTTAACCAGTCAACTGCTAGTTTTAGGTATTTTCTAAAGTTGTTATAGCCTGACCGGTCTAGAGAACTGCAGCGCACGATGTTATGGGAAAAACGATGAGTTGGACTTATATTTGCTCATATAACTAGAATCCTAAAGAATAGAGTAAAAATACGTTCACAGGGACTTAGCACTCTTTTTTACAGACATAATTTGAAAGCTAATAACTTTCTCAAACACTGAAATAATATTCCCCAAGTTACATGCTTCCTTTGCCCACAACGCTAGCTGTTTTATAAAACTTGTGTTACATGAAGCATTACTGGTACCTCTGCTTTGTAAGCTATATGTAACTCACTGATCTCACGTATGCAGAAAACAGAAAAGACTGGAACGAAGCCTACTTTTCACATCTTTTGAGGACAAATTGTAAATATTTTGAAGTGAAATGCAACTTTTCAGCAAATCTTCAAGAAGTAAAATATGCTGGGGATTGCTAGCCACTTTTCGCGGCTTCAAGAAGAAGCTGAAAACGGCTTCGCTGATGTAAAATGTGCTGGATTACTGTAGAGACAGTAGATACCTTTAGTCTTGGAGCCATTTCCGGCTTGTAATCCAGAATCTGAAATATCGTCGTTGCCAATTTGTGGTATATCGTAGAGCAAAAAATTTGGCACTCCTGCACATTGACGGCTTCAGCGCGCTGAGTGGCTAGCTGTTTCTCCGTGGAAAGGTTGATGAAGGAGACAGCAACAAGAGGGACCGCAGAACAGTGAAGACGGAACTCTTGTACTTATCTAAATATTTCAAAACGCTCGTGCGACAGTGTGGCGCAGGAGTTGCGTTTCACCTTCTCATGCTAGACGATATGCTGAAAATTTTCTGCACTGATCAGGCAATATATTTTTCCAGGAACAACTGTAATTTCTGACCAGTGGGCGGCATATAGTTTTATTAAAGATAAGTCAGAAGGGCATCAGCATCAGACTGTTAACTACTGTTAACCTCCGCTTCTTTGACCCCGAGTTCTGTGCTTGCACAGACATCATTGAGTCTCTACGGCAGAAATCCAAAGAAGGTTGTATATCAATGCATGGAACGTAGAGAGCACGTTTGAATTTGTATATTGACGACGTCGTGTAGAAAAGGATGTACGGAGGCAGTGCGTTGTACCACCTTTGCTCAAAAATAGAGGAACATCACGCACAATCTTGTAATTCTCTATGAAATTGTGAGAGCTCTTTACTGGCTTTTGATCTGTCATAAAGCAATTCAGTTTTTGAGGAGTCCTTCATATGAAAAGCACTAATCAAGCTTTTCACTTGGGTCTGGAAAATAAAACGAAGAACTGATGTTTTGAAGTTAGGACTGTCGCTGTTTAAGATTACCTTTTTTTTTTACTGACTGGGTTTTTTATTGGTTGAAAGGGTTGTTTCGGTTCCAGTTTGGTATTAACAGCAAAACGTTCATTTTAGTATGATGCCAAATATCATGGTTGGCGTTGTTGAAGGCAGCTCGCAATATCGCAAATGGTATTTTGAAGCTGAAGTGGAGCATATTGAGAAAATGACTGCTACTGATCCATACCTTCGTGTTGGGTGGGGTAATACGGTTGGATATAAACCATTTCCCGGATCTGGCGACGGGTAACAAGATTTGCTTAAAATCTCGAACTTTCTTACATTAAGCATAAGTCAAATGCTCTTTCTCTTTTTGACGTTTAAAATACGCAAGCAAATATGCATTTAAATAGCAAAACAAAAAATTGGTATTATAGAGAACACCACCAGTTATAAGTTATTCCAATGCTGAGCCTAACCGGACACTTTTTAAATGATCAGTGCGCGTTTCAGCTTAAAAAGAAGACAAACAGTAGCCTTTTTACATGAAGTAATCCAGTTACATAAATTCACGTGCAACCCGAATGTAGGGCATTGGTTTAGTTCTGATGTTATATGTGAAATTTTCACTCATTTAGTTTTTATTTTTCATGATTTTTCAGTTGGGGATGTAACGGCGTTGGGGATGATTTTTTTTCATACGGTTTCGATGGACATTCTCTTTACTGCGGTTTGTTAATCAAAGTTTTCTTCTTCCAAACATTTACTTTTAGCTTTGTTTTAAAATGTTTTTTGCCTGGAACATATGACTTCAAAGGGAGAAAAATTAAAAAATTAAGCCGGGAAAGGTAAGACAGTTGGAACTCGCGTGTTCCAAAAAGGCGATACAGTTGGTTGTATTTTGGACTTGAATGTTCCTGAAATGCAGTTCAGTTTAAATGGAAAAGTTTTTTCGGCCTGTTTCAAAGATTTTAACATCGATGGATTTTTTTTCCCTGTGATGTCTCTGTCTGCGAAAGTCAGGTTTGTA